CGCTCGCTCTCGCTCTCTCGCTCTCTCTCTCTCTCTCTCTCTCTCTCTCTCTCTGACTCTCTATATGTCCGTCTACCTACCTACCTGCCTGCCTGCCTACCTACCTAACTATTTGCTATGTACCTATCTGTGTGCGAAAGTATGCACGTACATACGTACTTACGTACACATACACACAGAATATTTACATGTGCGTGTGTGTGTGTGTGTTTGCATGCATGTGTAGGTGTATGTATGTATGTATGTATGTATGTCTGTATGTCTGTATGTATGTATGTATGTATGTATGCTTGTACGTACGTAGGTAGGTATGTATGTATTTTTGTATAGGTGTGTACGTATGTATGTACCTATGTATGTATGTGTGTATGTATGTATAAATGTATGCATGCATGTGTGTAACTATGGGTGGCTGTAAACATGTAAGCATGCATGTATGGACGTCGCTACGCATGTAGGAACTAATAACAAAACATGTGCATATATATATATATATACATATATCTCTCTCTCCCTGTATATATGTATATATATATATGTGTGTGTGTGTGTGCGAGTAGTATGTATATGTACATGTCAACACAGATAGAGACATACGTTCACACTGATTTCGTTAATTATGGATGGACAGGCAAGTATTATAGTTGGCTTTTCAAGGCAGATAAGACATATGAGTCTTGATGATGAATTTGCCATAGTTCTGACCATTCTTTTAGTGCTTCCTCCGCATGACGACGACAGTAGTCCCTGCGAGTCCAAAATCCTCCGGTCCTCTCTACGCCTGCAATCTCAGGGTGCCTGAGAGGGAGCGCGACGAATACTCATGCATGAGATTCCTTCTCTGCAGGCCCCTAGCTTCTTGGCACCACTTCTTGGCCATTGCAGCCTGAATCGCGCTAAGCCGCATACCCTGAAAGCAATCCTGAGGCCTGAAACATCCTCGGTACGATTCTCACACAGGGTGCTGCTCAAAAATCGGGTCTCTGCCAACATGCTTGAACATGCACGGGTTCTGATGAGCTGTCTTTTTTTAAGTGCTCGGGATAAGGCACACCATTTTCTGCACAAGGACCACACTGAAATGATGACACGCTCGGCGTCGGCGGCCTTAGGTGCCTCACCAATGAGATGCGGCTGGCCATGGTGCCCACACCGAAGTCGCCTTGCCGGAATTGTCGATCCCAAAAAAGCAGGCAGCCTTTTGAAAACCAATGTTTTGGGGTCCTGCGAATGCGTCATACAGCAGAAGCCACTCGTCACAGCGGACAGTGAACGTGCTCTACCCCGATCGAAAGACAACTAGATACACAAGGAATACCACGAAACCAGAAGAGCTTCTCACGGCACTTGAGGTTGAGTCCTTAACCCTTTGAACCAAGGGCTGACTTGTGAGCTCCAGCGGTTTGCCGGATCAGGATCTGGGTAGCGTGGCCTGGCAGCCCCTGTCTTTTGTAGAAGTCCTTCACGGATCGGAAGACCTTGGGCTTAGATTTCCAGGGTTTCGGGTTTAGGGCTCAAGGTGGAGCGACTTTTGTGGGCGGAGTTCAGGATGGCTTACAGGGGAGTCAGTCCGATTTTGGCATTTGAGAAATGACGCCGGAAGCAGGGAATTGTCGTTCCGGATGCTTAAAAAGCTCTCGTGAACCAGACTAGGCATCTGAGCATCTCAAACTAAACATCCCAAAACAGATTCGTCAGTTCGCCATAGAGATCCTTGTAGCTTTTGGTTCAAGGAAAAGTGTTTTGTGCTTCAAATCAAGGCACGGGTCCTTCATGAGGGGCCCCTGATGTAATTTTGTTGGAATCTGGTCTCCGGGTGCCCTTACTTCGATGAAGGCCGAAAAGCCTGCGGGCAGGCAGTGGGTCGGTTCGTCCGGGTTGAACAAATTTGGCCCTACACTTGTCATTGTTGCCAAGGGTTTAAGGGCCCCTTGTTTCTAAGCCCCAACCGTGGGATTCAGGAGCTTGTTCTTCGAGGTTTGCCAGTTTTTTTGCTTTCGTGACCGAGGGTAAACTGGCAAACCTAGAGACGCCTCCTATTCAAATGGTGAGTTAAGGCCCATGTACCGGTTCCATACTACAAATCAGCTCTACAGCAATTGCAAAGCCCTTAACAGACACGACATATCACCTTCCCTAGAAACCCGTTCTGAAACCGCCGAGAGCGACAGTTGTGAAAGACTCGTGGAACCCCAAAGAAGGCCCACCTCCGAGTAGACGAATCGGAACTCCACAGCCTGCTGGAGCCCCTGCAGCGGAAACCTCGGACCCCCAAGGCTTGGGCCCGTTCTTTTTTTGTTGTCTCCTACTTCGGAGTCGCAGACTACCAGCCTTTTTGTGTGAGGATCTTCAGAACCGGCCCAATGGCCACTGCAAAGCCATGCTTGTTAAAGAAACCACGAGAAAAAAACCCTGAACCCTCAGCCGTGCACCTAACCCTCGTCCTTGCTAGCCTTCAGAAAAAATACGGAGTTTCAACGAACCGAAGGCTCTCAACAAGGGACCTCATGTTCAGAATCTCACAAGGCCATGTTTGAACACCGAGGTGCAGGACAAGGTCTGCTCCGTTGGGGCTCCCACTTCGAGTGTCACCTCAGGGTTCGTTCTCCCCATGGAGTAGCGTAAGCCTGAACCTACCATAACTTACTCTTTTTCGTAGGGTCTACATACACACCCTAGTAAGAAGGGCTTGAGGTTCGGCAGCCGCCTTGAAAACCCGGCATGTTTCTCTGAGGGTCTTTTGAAGCTCTCCGAAAAGGTGTTGATTGATTTTCGATGGCTGTACGCAGGCTTAATTAACAGGGTTGGCAGGTGCTCCACCTTCAAGGGCCGAACCTCCAACAGCGAGACTGGGAACCAACGAGTTTCGTGCCGGTACAGATCCTCGTGACACCCAACAGAATCCTAGTCCTAGTCCACGGAGCGGCCAATCCGAAACTCCAGCCGCTAGCTTACACGGCTTACAATGACATTTTAGCTGCAATACTTGTTGTGCCTGCTCCTGTCTAGAACCTGCATGCGTGCAGTGCACAATACGTAAGATACTCACCTCTTGTTGGTCAGAACCCTGCACCAACCCCCGAAAGCCTGCTTGAAGCATCAAGTAACTCAGCAAGCAGGGTTGTTACAGTGACAGATTCAGTTACAACTGGAGTACTTTAGGTGAGTGCCTTGATCCTCCAGGTTCAGCTCCGGCCTTGTCGCGAAGCCACCGGCGACCTTTCACCCAGGAAGCGATGGCTTTGTGTGTCCTGGCGGGACGGGAAGGCTTTGTAGTGTTGGCTCATAGATGTTAAATCCTGAGGCCTGAGGCCTAAGCCCTAAACCTCATGCGTCCTCGTAACGAAACCCTCCTGCTTACGTGATGCTGCTGGAATCTGCTGGATGGTGACGGGGTAACGGTGATAAGAAACGGTTGTGGAGGTGGCGGTGGGTGGTTGGCGGTAGTAAGGGCGGTCGGCGAGGATACCTGCGAACTTCGTGATGCCTCCGTGCTCCTTAAGTCCTAGACACAAAGTCACAAAGCACAACACCGTCCGCATGCTGTGTGAACTCTGCGGCATCGGTGATCAAGTCCAGCGGAAAGTCTGGGCACACCATGACCTGAAATGACAGCACGATTGTCGCGTTGCTGCTATTCAGCCCATATCTCGCTCAGGGCTTAACCGCCTAGGTTGGGCCTGCTGGCTTGGACGCTCTTGGCATCTGAAACCATGCGCAACTTCCGGCCCTTCGTTCTCCAAATGATGCTACATCTGCGGATGCACAGTAGATCCAGTTGTCACCCATCTGGGTTGAGGAACATAGAGCCAAGCAGCAATCATATCGCGGAAATCTAGCACCGTAAGGGCAATCACACTCAGGTCTCGAGTGACTTGACCAAGTTGATTCCTGAGTGACAGCTTCTGCGGATCAGCGTTCCGGTTATTAGATTGAGTCTGACCTCAGATTAAACGGTAAACTATAGTACCACTTATCGGACTGTTGGAACGGGGATCACAGCAAGGGTCCGCACAGTGTTATCATGTCCCAGGTTGTCGCGAGATACTCTTCCGCTTGTGTGGCTGCATGGATGAAAACAACTAAACGCAGTGTTGTGGATCCAAGGTTCCTCTAACTTGTAGCGGCATGGTCCATCCACAACTGCAATGCAACCGCATCCACGCCACGACGTAAGGGTCGACGTGCATTCAACAGCGCTGCTCGAGCATCTTTCCACAGTCAGAGCTCTTTGCACTGAAACTATGCTTTTTTCTGCTTTTCAAGAGCTGCTCTTCCGCTCCAAGCAAGTCCCAAGACCCAGGGCAGAACTGAGGCCCCCTGCCGGAAGCGCTGGACAAAGGCCCGCCGATTTTCCGGGGTGGCATTTATCGTCCTGCCAAAAGCGTTGCTTCGGTTTTGATTAGTCGAGGACTTGGGGCTGTACTTGTTTTGGGTTTTGGGGTTAGGACGTTTGTTCTTGTAGCAGCAGTAGCAGTCGTGATTAGCTGTACTCAGGCGTGACCGTTTGTCTGTGCTGAGCTATTATTCATTTTTAAATTTTACATGCTTCCCGCTGATGTTGTTCGAGGTTCAAGTCCTTACGGCCCCCAGAGTGGCATGTCCGAGTGGCAAGAAGCAGCACTTGTCAAGCCCCGAACACTTTGCCATAGAAGTGGGGCCAAACATGGCAACAGTGAGAAGAGTGCCTATGATACAAGTACTCCCTTGTACTGCTCCTACTAAATGCCGTGCCAATATTAAGAGCTATACGCTATCAGTGCCATCATAAGAAGGAGCATGCTCTCTGTTGCTGTGAGCATGGATGTTGAGACCTTTTGTGGGGAGTTGTAGGGTTTTGTCGTTTTACGGGGACTGTCCTTCGGCCCTGGCTGGGATTAAGTTTGTAGGCTTGGTTTTGGAGATCCTGGGTCCTGAAGACTGAAACTCCCGGTGACAGAAACCCTGCCAAAGGGCCAGGCCTATATTGCGTGAAGTCACTTGGCTGTAGGTGGCTCCCTTCCAGGATTGCCTTCACAACGAACGCAATTTCTCGTAGCCTTGTGTCCTTTTCAATTCCATCTTTACTTCGGGTTGTCTTATCCCCAGAAAAGCACGAGGGAGGCAGCACCCTTCATGTGGTTATGCACGCCAATGCCAACTTGACAGAGCCCATGGTAGCGGGGGCACTAGCAAAATGCTAGCTCACAAACGCTCGATGCGTCAGAGTCCTGTAGTCTTTACACGTCCGTGTCCAAAATGTGAGATCAGAGATCTTCGCGACAAGACGAAACCTAAAGATTAGCAGCCACAAGACCTGACCAAGCCATATCAAACCTGAAACCCCGGACTTCTCCCAACCGGGGCCCATTGAAGAACTGGTGGCTGTTCTCTGCGTGCCTGCTTCCCTCCCAGAATTTCGTTTTTTTGGGATGCAGTCGGTTCTTTGACCGCTTAATTAGACTTCCTAGCCTGAGCCATGTCACCAAACACACTGGAAAGAACGAAGCACAAACAACTGCGAGTAGTGTTGCAGGTCTCCAGAGCCCATGTCAAAACCTACGGTACCTTCCCGATTACATACGCACGCTCGCCCTGACGGTGCGGTTGCATTGGACAATACAGTCCAATACGGTGCAGGTGTCATCGTCAAGTGGAGCGTATGGTAGGTAGAGTGGTTTAAAATGTTTCCGCAGACTATACCACAAGAACTCCCCCACTCCCGGACCACCAGCCTGCCAGAAGTTTTCCAAGGCTTCTGCAGAGCTCGTTTCGCTCTTCGCACAGCGACGGAAGGCCTCCGACCTCGTAGCAATGCAAAGCACATGTATCTGTTCATACACACATATAGTAGACTTAGTAGAAGCCTAACAGTTGCAAACCCAATAGCCTCAATGCTTAAGAGTACTGTATAGGGACTGCCCGCACTATTTGTCCTGAGTCCGGTTTCCAATTTTTTGGGTTTGCCGTACACTTATTTCGAGTGATCTTTGGTGCTTAGAAGCAATGAGACGATATACAATCTAGCAAAAGTCGATCATCGCATGTTGTTGGGTAAGACTTGGAACTACTTCGGATGCCTGGCTGCCCTTAGCTCTCTCCGACGGCGCCCGCAGCAACAGCGGGTGTTGAGAGACTGTGCAAGGGCTTGGCGATGATCGAAGCTTAGCTGGGACCAACCGAGTTCTACCACATGGGCCAAGCATGGAGGCAAGCCGCAGGTAGAAATCCAGGTGAAAATGCTTCAGATACCTTGGGCGACATCCAGAAGAAAGTTCAAGGCCGAAGGGCCGTTGCAACCGTGGGCTCGTTTCAAACCCGTAACATATCTCTCAATCCTGAACCGACGTATGCTCCGTAAAGCCCTGAGCACTCTTTGCAAAGTCTCGGATAAAACCGATGAAAAACTCAGGCACCGCTCAACAGCAGCTTGACTCCAGACTGTTGGCTGCAGCATAGATCCCTGTATCTACGCCAGCACCACAAGAGGAAATCTTCAGTTGAGGATTCAAAGCCATAAGTTTGATTGATTTGACTTTGCAAATCAGTTCCGTGAGCCATTGCATGTCTTCCGAGCTCCAACTTCCCGGTTGGATGTGAGCACGACGCTGGGCAAGATGGTATGTGTGGAATTTAGCAGAGCATTCGAACCACGTTCGTTCAGGGACCTCCGCGCACTTTACTTGGGATCGGGAGCTCGCTCTGGTGCCGATGTCGCATGACTGCAAATTCTACAAGTACTGTAACTATGAGGCATTATACATAACCCTTCCCCGAGCCGTGGAACACGGCATAAGACCGAGGTACGGCGAAACTCAGCTCTGGACCTGTACACAGGTAAGTGGACCGTCGTGACGGTAGTACTGTCTGGTGAATAGTGGCAACCCTGGAATTGTCCAGCACTCCCAATGGGACATGCACAGTCCCAACACTCTTCACCCTCAAGTCTGGAACCCTCAGCCCTAAACCCCTGAAGCCGCAAAAAAAACATCAAACTGACTGTGCTCCTGATACCCTACAGCATCTTACATAGGCCATTTACAGAAACCTCTCATCTAGTGGTCGCATCCTTGAGCTTTGTACCATTTTGCGAGAAAGTGGCTCCTTCGCTGGCATCGCCTGGCAGCTCGGGCAAACACCGAGACACCTCAAGACCCCTCATAATCGCGGGGGTTCATATTGAGGATCCATAGAAAACTTTTTGGGGCCATTGTAGAATTGGGGAATTCGGAATCTATGGGTATTCGCACCTCTGAAGTGCTACATTCGGGTTTCAGGGCCTCGTCTTAACGGGCTACCAGCTCATTATTAATGTATTTCTCTTTTTCTTCTTGCAACTTGTTCCAGTGCTTCATGATGGTCATCAGTAGTACGACGAACACGACGACGACGACGACAACTACTTCTCCTACCACTCCTTCCAATACTCGGCGTAAATAGGACCGTCATCTTGCTAGCCATGAGTATGTAGCGGTGTTGGTAGTCCCTTATTGTTCTTGCCGCTTTTTTTGACGAGTTGCTAATCCCCGTACTAGTCGGATGAACGACTGCAGACTTGAATCGGTCGCCAGGTGAAATATATCTTTGCCAGGCCAAGCCCCTCAGCCCCAGAACCTTACACTCCCTGCACCCTACCCCAACGTGCGCCCCTTGAACTCGAAACCTCCAGCTCGCCTGAAGTGTTAAGCCTCTCTGCTCAGCACTATCGTTGCTGAAGCCGCAACTCGCGAGGACGACGCAAAACGATCTACAGGTCGAGATGCATGGTACGTGTAGTTGGTTCCCAGGCACCGCCCTGTAGTGATGTCTAACTAACCTCCTCTAATGATGACTTCAGCCGTTGTGCAGGCTGTAGGTATGAAAACAAGACTCCCGGGCCCTTCACGAAGTCCCCATAAATGTAACTNNCCCCCCCCCCCCCCCCCATAATCAGCCTAAACCCTAAACCCGGCAGCGAAAGCTTCGGGCCGAGTCCCTGGCTGCCAGGGCCTCTGGCCGCAGCATGGCGAAGAGACGGTTCCCGGCAGGATCCGATGATGGCTCTTCTTTATGCTCTCACGACTCGAACAAGCCTGCTCTTTTTCAGGGTCTTGGGTTTTAGGGCTGAGGGTTGAAGGGTTTAGGATCAGAAATGTAGCATTTAAGGCTTTTGTTTCCTTTCTAGTTCAGGGTTTTGGGTTTGGGGATTGTTGGGGTTTAGAACTTTGTGCCTTTCGACTCTCACAGTTTCAGGCGTTCGGGTGCTTGCATGGTTCAGTGAAGCATTCCTTCCGGCTTTCACGCTGCCGCCTTATTGCTACAGGCCACTACTGTTTCCACTTCTGGCTGATGCTGCGCTTTGCCTCGAGCTGGGTAAGCAGGCACAGCTGAGCACGCACAACTAAGGCGAACATCTTAATCTATAGTCAGTCAACATGGATGTCTCAGGCATCAGTTGACTAATGATCACAGCTCAAGCCAGTGAAACCTCGTGCTTAAACAACATACCCCTATAGCAGCGCTCGGTCGCTGACAGTGGGTATGAGCAGTGCGTTCTAAATGTTGCTGCCACACAAAGAGTACACCAGAACAAGGGCCCGAATAAAAGCCCTAACATGGCATTCTTGTTGTTGCATCTCCCTCCTCGGGTACTTTTACCCTGAAAGGTAGCATCCTTATTCTTCGCTGCTTCGGAGGCCCCTTCGCAAGCCTCGGCACAAAAACGGTCCCGCATTCAATCATCCTGCTGCAGAGCCTCATGTCACTCCACATGTTGTCTTCGATGCATGTGCATTGGCAGCGTCTTGCTGATGGGAAGAGTGGGTCCTAGACTGAAACCACGAAGAAAGTTGAAGAGTGTCAGACACTACGAGTAGCAGCTAAATTACACGGAGGCCTAGATCAGCCGGCATGTGCGTATGCGACATTAGAATGAGAGCGGGCTACTGAGGTTGCTGCACAAAGAAATTCAGGTCAAGTTCTCAAACCCAGTGGGACATGATATTGCACACCTCAACCCGAAGCCCGAAGCAATCAAATCCATATACCCAAAAAATCTAAAAACCTTGAGCATGAAGATGGGCATGCTGACATATTTTCGATCCTGGCCTGGCAACATCCGTCACATGCAGCTATAACTTTGACTGGAACGGCGGCTCACTCTTGGAAGCTGGAACGTGAGACCATCTTTAGCCCCAACCCTTTGAGGTGCGACTGTTTAGGGCTTTGGCTTGCAATGGGGCCTCCGGGATTCTGGCTGTGTAGTCCTTCGTTTTCACTCATCTTATATACAAGTACCATGTCCGACGAATCCGTCTAGCGCCACCCGCATCTATGGTTACCCAGCCTGGTAAAATTGTAGCCGTGAGCCGAAAGAGGACCAGGATTCAGAACTAGCTCCGGACCTACCCCACAACCCCACGCACAACAAATTCCAATGGTGCTGCGGGGATTTGAAGATATTGCATATAGCGAAACACTACTACCAACTCGGGGTGCGCGTGAGGACGCTGCGCTTTAGACTCAGAACCCGTGCCCTGAGCCCTTTTGCCTTTAACCCCGAAGGCCTTTCAGACCTGAGATAGGAACCCTTCGGCCTAAACTCCAAGCCTTAAACCCTGAATGCTGAGACCTAAATTTATCAAACACTCAACCCTGAATCCCAAACCCTGAAAACTCAATTATGTAAACCTGAGTCCTATCGAGCGGCCTCCGTTTCACGAGCTAAGCTCTCAATGCTACAGGCATCCCGCCGGATGTGGTAGCAGTCGCTCAGCCTCGCTAATGTCCGTAGTTTAGGGCTCATGAGTTGAGGGGAGACTTAAGACAAGAGAAGAATTCATCAGTAGGTTTCATTCTGGAGCCGTCTGGCTGTACCCTACGAACTCTCATATGCGCCAGCGAACTGCATGTACGTTCGATGCAGTGAAACTAGGATTATCGGTTCGGGGCTGAGGCCTGTTACTAGTTTAGAACAATCCAGCCTGAAGTGAACTCTGGGGGCAAAGGGGGTACTGCTTGATCTCGCTTTTCATTGCCGGATGGCGTAATAGACCGTAATCACGACGTAGCCTTGTGATTCCACAAGAAAATTATATCCATTCTGGGCCACGTCCAAACCACTTCTTTTCGTTTGCTGGAGGGCCGACAAGCCTTTCGAATTGAAACATACCCTGAACGACCCGAGGCGCCGTTTGCTCATCCGAACACCTCCAAACTTACGTAACTGATGCATGTTCAGAATGGTTCGTATGAGTACGTGGTTCACTGCCTGGGGCTCAGCTGCTTCGTGTAGACGAACTGCCACACCTTTATCCTGCAGGGGGGAGTCAGGTAGAACGGTCCTTAGACTCTGAGTTTGACGCCTTGCGGTTGAGAGCTTGATGAGCTGAGACGTACGATGAGGGTTCCCGGGAATCTTTAACACCGAGGAGGAGGAGGAAGCATAGGATTCAACTGGCCTATGTGTAGATTTGTGCCGTCTGGCGGAGAGGAGCCAATCAGCCCGTCCTTCTCTTCTCAAAGGCCGCAGTGCAGCAGCTGAGGTAATATTCCCACATGCGCTTGAAGCGTGTGTCGAACTCGTCCATGTTATTCCACGTCTTCAGGTTGTCTAACCAAGTTCGCATTGTCTGCACCTTGTACAGGATACAAGGAATGGGGGGAACAAGCCTCTTTAAACTTAAATGGCGTGCCATCGTCCCTGCGTGCCCCGGCTGCACCCCACATGTTTCCTGCATGTTCAATGCTCTCCTCTGGCTTGTCAAGGCATCTCTGTTTCGAGCTGGCTTGCGTCAGCTTGAAACTCGAATCGTCCATACTAGCCGCTTCTGATATCGTGTTTCAACCACCATTCACACAAACTTTGCGGCAAGCGAATGCCAAAGACACCTTGCAGGAAAAGACAGACCAGTGAAAATGATAAAGAAAGGCGAGACGGAGGAATCCCAACAGACAGCACATGGGGGCAAGCCGTGGTCCAAGATCCCGGCATAGCTCTTTCCGAAGCTTTGAAAGTCCTCACGGGCGGCCGTCTGAGTTTCAAAGGTCGAATGCTGCCTTACCGAAAAGACTTCAGTTCCGGACTGATGAAAGCCTTTTCCGAGGGCTTTCGGAAAACTTCGCAATGAACCCTCAAGGCGAAGATTTTCGAACAATTGGGCGGCTGCTCCCCAAGATAGGAGAAGCCCTGCCTGTGGCCCAAGGCTTATTGCAAAACACGACTTCCGCACGCAGAACGCCTGCTCCCCGCGCACGAATCTTCACAAGTCCCTCCATCTCCTCCAAGTGCCATCTGTCGGAGAACTCCTCCGTGAGAAGATACAGCCTCCATCCAAAGGCTGCCAAAACGGTTCTGGGTCGTACTCATCTGCACTATGGTTCACTGTGGTCTCTAGCCTTTGATCAAAGCACCGCAGACCTGATAGCCACACCTGGAAGCTGAAACGTCCAGAGCCCGACTCTGAACAGCTAAGCACAACCAGCACCAAAGGGCTAAACCAATTGAACAAAACATAACGCAATCTTTTCCGGTCTTTCTGCCACCGCATAGCTGCATTGGAGCCGTAGATGCTTCGGTAAGTAACGAACCCGTCCACCCTAAGAACGCCCTGAACCCTCAGCCGGGCAACGTTGGCAGCTCGCCCCCGGGGAAGATGTACTTGCCAACCTGGGTACTTTGACAGCTTTGGGGTTTAAGTTTATCGGGGGTCTAGGATCTGCGAAAGGAGACAAAGGCACGCAGGCACCCTCACGGCAGGCCAGGCTTCATTGCAACTGCAGGTCTATGGTTAATCATTGCCTTTGAGTGTTAGGATTTATCGCTTTAGGGTCGGTTCCTGTCCGACCGGCCAGGAAATTTCGAAGCTACCAGGACCATGTTTGCACGTTGCAGTTTGAAATGCCGACGCTGTCTTTGCAGACGGGAACCCTCAAGGGGCCCTAGTGCGCGGATATGTGGGCACGATCTCTGGGCCAATTTAGACTTCTCCAATGCAAAAAGTGCAGCACCTCTACATCTGAACGCCCGAAGAAAAGCAAATCTCGCACCCTACAGTGTCGCTTCTGTGCGAAACCGAGCATCGAAGCCATTATGATTCCATTCGCCGCGCTTGGCCCAACCGAGAGTGTGCAGCAGGAAGATTCCATCGTCAGCCAAAGCATCGTAGACTTTGTCGAAGTAGGTTGCGAAGGAAGCTCTCCCCACATGCTCAAACATGCCTACTGAGTACACGCGGTCGAATTTGCCCTGCACATCACGATAGTCTGCATACATGAACTCAATGTTGGGATGGCCATAGTGCTCCTTCGCCCAATCCATCTGTGCCTGGGAGAGTGTGCAAGCCTTGATGTGAACGTCATATCGTGAGGCCAGATGGTAAGCGAGAGATCCAAACCTTGGTGTCTACCAGGACTCTGGGGTTTCCGGGCCTGGTCTTTGGGGGGTTGAACGGAAGTTCAAGGTTGCGGGAATAGGTATAGACCTCAGACTGAGTGTGTCAGCCAACATGTGAGGTACACTTGAGGGGTTGCACGAATCTTGTTGGGCCTTTACCTCCTGACGTGACAGCCGCATAGTGGAGCTTCAGAAAATGAGGGATTCGGCCCAACTTAGACCACAAATAGCAGGATCCTCCCTGGAAGGATCCCTACATAAGGGACTCCACATGGAAGCCCCCATATTGCCGAAAAAGGCCCAGATGCCCAAAGCCAATCTCGAGAAGTTTCATTCCAGGTCTCCTCAATGCTTCAAGGAGCTGTTCACCTTTATGGTTTAGGCCTAACTCGCAAACTCTTTTACAGTTTGGGTTTGGGACGCTGCACGTGGATCTTTCGGAGCAACAGCCGGAATTTTCGACCTAGAAGCCCCTGTCCACAAAACCCTGAAAGCTATTTTCCACCCAAAGCCCAAACTCGAACCCTTGTCCAAGCTTCAAGTCCAACTTCCTGGCGATCAGCTCCATCTTGGCGAACTGAGCATCGTCCAAGGTCATGTCAGGCCTTGGCGGTCAGGGTTCAGGGATTTCGTCACTCGCACTTGTACAGGGCAGGCAAGGGGTTCACTGCAAGTCCATTCGCAAAGAATTAAATGAGGGTTCAGGGCCCTTAGGGCTTTGGGTTTCTGGGCAGAAGCTTTAAGGCAAACTTTTTTTGGTTTCATACTTGCGTTTATTTCTCCTCTTAGTACACGTCTCGCCGGAGCTCTACAACCTTCTAAGCCAAGCCGGGCAGGCTTTGCGAGCCCCAGGAGTTTGTGGGTTTTGAGAGTAAGGGTAGTCTGTTGACCCGTATCCCGTTGTCCCAAGCCTTCAAGCAAGAGTACTGACTCCACCACCCCTTCCCCAGTTCTGCGAAGTGTGTCACTGTGCAGACTGTGCTCGTGAGTAGGGCGAAGAGCCCACGTAGCACGGAATCAGACGGTTGGGGGAACAAGCAAGCCGAACTTGTCTTTAGGATGCCCGTGCTCCGCACCTAAGGCTGAAGCTTTGATTTGGATGGTGATTGTAATCTCTGGAAGAGCTGGGTTTTGAAAACCCCAAAACCCCTGTCTAGAAGAACGAACTGAAGGGGCTGAGGCTGACTTTCCACAAACCCGAAAGCCTAAGGTGTCGGCTTGTAGAAGTAGCCACAGGAGTACTGCATGTTGCTGTCAAGCATCTCCTGCCGCAACTGAGACGCACACAATCATTGGCATGTGTGCGACCGTGGTAGCCATGGTAGCGGTTGCAGCAATTGTCGTCGTTGTTGCAGCAGCAGCCACAGCAGCAGCTTTAGTAGCGGTGGTAATGGTGGTGGTGGTGGTGGTGGTGGTGGTGGTGCTGGTGGTGATGGCGGTGGCGGTGGCGGTGGCGGTGGCGGTGGTGGTGGTGGTGGTGGTGGTGGCGGCGGCGGCGGCGGCGGCACCGGTGGCGGCGTTGGTGGTTTCAGACCGCCCTCGCCTCAGCTATATGCCCCATGAGAGCATCTAGTGGTCCAAGCTGGCTGCTATTACTCATAAGTCGGGTAATTATCATGAACTATTGATGGGGTTCGGCGGCGATAATGATGCAGACGAAGTATTGACGATGAAGGCTCATACTTACAAACCTCGGCCTCTCCTCGTAGATCTTGATCGTCTCCTCGGCTGTGCGGCGACAGGTTCCGACGCGAAAAGCCTGTTGCCTCTGAGCCTCTCCAACGAGACTGCAGAACCGGCACTCCACGTGCAATAAACATGAAACCCTGAAACCAAACTTTTGCGGCATAGCCACCCCTACTTAACCTTCAACCCGCTTGTGTTGTCACAGCAGTCAGGCATCTTCGACTAAGACTATGCTCATGACGTTTGGGGTTCTCTCGGGTCAGCGTGGCAGCAACCTCCTTTCGGGTCAGGGGTGCAGAGTGGGACAAGCATGGAGTCGAACGTTCTCTCCAAACGGATCGTTTTCAGCAAGATGATGGAACACGCGCCTTATCACCAACTCACCGTTCCTTTCGGCCAGCCTGCCACGCATGACAGAGCCACCAGCACGACACTAAGCCTCTGAGCCTGGAGCAAAGACAACTCCACTCCTGAGTGTGCCTAAGTGACTCGGAACTTCCGAAGCCCTACGAAGGTCCCTGAAGCTCTGAATCCGGCAGAAGGTGTTTCCGCAAAGCAAGGTCCTTAATGTACGCCCCTTAAAGACACCAGACCGGCCAACCTCTGAGGCTTTCGTCCGATTGCGCCGGGCCGCGACATCGTAAGTCTTCCCGATGTTGTCTTTAGCCCCCTCGACTGACTGCCCAGGCAACTCGAGGAGTTTGCCTGGAGAGTGGTCTTATGTGGCTTCAGGCGGGATGTAGGATTTCAGACAATCTTCTGAGTTGCTGTTGCTATCTAGTTGGTTTGTTCCTCGACATTGCAATAACAAGTAAGTGCTATCGCGACTCGCCCTTTAAATCGAGGAGTGATGCCTTCAGCTTATTGCCGCCCTCACCAAGGGGGTACTCCTCGAGTCTAGGCAGCCGCAAGGGAATTAGCTGAAACTGTTCTTGCCCCTAGTTTTGCTGCCGTGCTGTGTGCACGTTTGATCCACCACCCTTCACCCCGATGCTCCCAGCTTTATACCGACACTTCCACTGCTATAAGGCAACATCGCTTCTCTTGCTGGGTGCCCCATTTCAAAACCACGGGCCCGGCTTGGGGGCGGTTCGAGATGCATCGGGTGGCGTTGAACGAACGTGCGTTCACTTAAATTTAAACCCTGAACCTGACCACCCTGACCCCACACTCTAAACGCAAACCACAACATGCAGCAAAAGTAGCTCAACACCTGTCCCTAATCCTTCACTGCTACGTACCCCTAAACCCAGAAGCTAGATCCTAACAATCCCAAACTGCTCCAAACACCTCTTAAGCTGTCAAACCCCAAACACTCTACCCACCCCCATGGCCCAACACCCTTTTGCATCCGGTCTGCAGTGACCCTAGCGGGAAAGACTTGTATCCGCGTGTTGGGCCTGATCCATGACACCCCAAGCCTGCACAACGAAACCCCAAACCCTAAAACGAAACAGCCCTGGCCTTTCAGGGCCCCGAGGACGATCGTCCCAAGGAGAGGGAGCTCCCGGGCCCCGAGCTCCTGGCAGCATCATGAGTTGCTGGATCGCCTTTCCAAAAGTAGTACTGCGATCATGAATATGGTTATCAGTCAGGTCATGGCTGTCTTGTATTAGACGTGTTATAATGCTGCATTGGCCGTATTACCAGTAATATTATTTAATAATATTATCATTATTATTATTATCAGCATTCTTCTTCGTATCATTAGTAGCATTAGTCTTGTTGATGCTATTATCACTGTTTTTGCTTTTGCTATAAACAATATCGTTTATCATTCGTCGCAGCAGCAGCAGCAGCAGGAGGAGGAGGAGGAGGAGTAGTAGTAGTAGCAGTAGTAGCAGTAGTAGTAGTAGTAGTAGTCGTCGTCGTCGTCGTCGTCGTCGCCGTGGTGGTGGTGGTGGTGGTG